TCTACGGCGGATGGCGCCGGTTCCTATTTCGCTCTCGCGTGCAGCAATTACCTCGGATGTCGATTGTCGAGATAAATTTCCTATCGCGGATATGTGGCCCCATTTCACACTTCGATTAGCCGTGCGAATAAATAATGCGTTCGATTAAGGCAATGTTAGTGGGACCAACGCTGAGGCGTGACGTGTACATTTCGAGTCGAACAAAGAGAACAGAGCAGCTAAAGTGAATATCCCAATTAGTGATAGTGCCCTAAATAAACAATTGCATCTGTTCCTTTTAATAAATTAACTAATACAGGTCTGCATCTATCCCAAACATGTTCTTACTCCAAATTTATATTCCATTTTATAAATTATTAATTATAACAAGTATCGAATAAAATTAAAACACATAAAAGAATATCATTCTACTGCTATAAAAGCGACCGCTCAGTTTATTTTTTTCCTTTCGAATAATGATTGTCTTCCACAAAGAATATCTTTTTGATAATAGTCTTAAAATATAATTTAACACAAATTTTAGTAAAAAACATTATTATCATATAATCCAAAGAATTTATTCTCTTTTCAATGATATTATAAAAGTTATATTTTATATGTAGAAAAAAGAGACCAAATTTTTCTTTTAACTTAATATTTTTGTTTTAATTTAATGGCAATAGTTTTTTCTACGTGCATAGTAAATGTTGTAACATCATAATTACAAGCGTATTGAAAGCGAGAGTTCGAAATTAGTTATTGACCTGTTAAAAGTTGATAGTTAATAACATATATTTATTTGCTATATCTCTCTGTGACTATTATAGTAGATGGTAAATTTTAAACTAAACTTTCGATGAAAAATAAAACTAAACTGCTATATTACTAAATGTTATTCAGTCATTTCTAAGAAAGTATTATAAGTAAATTAAAATTTTTCCATAAATTAGGGATATACATACTGATACAATTAAAACTCCAAATGGTCAAATTTTTCAAACAAAATCAATTTTGTGTACTTGGTCGCTAATTAGACATTCAACTTACAATTGATCGATAAAAAGTCATATGTCTTTCAAATTTGCGCGTTTGTTAATCTTTCTCAGCTCGGTTCCACTTTTTCTCAGCTAGTAAACGTCATACGAAAGAAAGTAAGTTAAATAATGATAAGAATTCTCGAAAGTGAATTTTTGAATTTATGATGGGGCATGATAAGATTATAGTGAGACTCAACACAATCAGCTTACGATGACGTATATGATCAACATGATCGAAAGGGTTAAGGTATCGATAAGATCGAACATGCCATTGTCGCGCGAATGTTTCGCAATAAATTCGTTCCCGTTTTGTCACTCTCCTAACATTCTTGTGAATTTGTATTTGTTCGCCGCGGCTATTTCATTCCTGCGCGTATCGAAACCTGTTAGCATAAATCGCAGCACTATCTATTTCGTTTGGCCGATGTAACCCGTAACTCTGGCACGATCGGATCAAATCGTTTCTCGAGCGTGGCCAGTTACGTTAACCGGATTCAACGACAGTGGCTGACGAGTGACACAATGCTGAAACTTTTCCTCGAGTCTGCTTCCACAGGAATGACTTCTCGTCGCGTCGTATAAATACAACGTGTAACCGTAAACGTGATAATGCAAATATTGCGCGACTGTGTAACGACGTTACACAGTATATTTACGTCTTTCTACATGCTGTACGTGCAGGCACACATTTCAATTGTGCGCTTAACACTTTCGATACGGCTATGTCGTTCGCGAATATGCTTCCGCTGTAAAGATATTCGAGTCGCGAATACGATTCTATTGTACGGGCCAGTTACAACGTACATTTTACCATGGAGTGGGTATAACACATGATATTCGGTAAAATAATGTAAATTACAGATACATTGTTCATAAAGGATGAAATATTACAATGTAATATATTTTAAATTATTCAGATTTAAAAAATTGTTTAATATAATTTCGACGATGGATGACTATAGTCACCCGTAGAACACAGTGAGTATGCGATGATGGCTGACTATAGTCACCCGTAGGACGCAGTGAACGTACGATGATGGATGACTATAGTCATCCGTAGTATCGAAAGGGTTAAGTAATGGTTCATCGGCCCGCTACAACAAACACAGCAGGGAATGCGCGCGTTACAGTCAAGTATATTCTTCCATGTTACGAGTGTAAACGAGTCTGAACGAGGAAGATTTAACGGAATAGAAAGTACCGATAGTACTTATTATAAATTTACCGCCAATTTACTTGATTTGCGGCGAAGTGCTTGAATTTACGATTACACGTTCGAGTTTCCTAGCGTGTTACAATTTGCAGTTAATGCACTTTCACGGCGCAAACGTCAATCCTTGGTAAAGCACGCCGCACGGTGCAGCTAAGTAGATTATAAGGGATAATTTGCAGTAAATTTGTTAGGCTATTAAAAGGCTATTAAAATAACGGGTTAATGACCCCGGAATACAATTCTCACTACGAGCTACGGCTCGTACGCAACACAGAGAGTTACGTAAATCGGTCATCATATTATTAAAGTTTATTTTAATACACATAACATTCCTCTTTGCTGGGTGCTTCATTATTGATAATAATAAAATTAATAATAATAAATGTTACACTAAATCGAAATAAGCTAAATATTTGGAAATACAGCAACAATCGCGGTCTTTTTTGTGATAATCAACAAAATAAACAACAAAAATATAAATATATATACAAGTTTTTAGCTTAAGATTTTTGTACGAAAAAACTCGGAAACGTCACATCATGTATATATCTCATATCGCAATCTTCATAAAATTACGATATATTAAAAATTTTTAAGACTACGCGATTCTTTCTACAAAAATAACAATACTGCTAAAAAATCTTTCGTGTTTCGTGTAAACACATATCGATGATTCTAAATATCAGCAACGTTTTGTTTATTGTTCACTCATTTGGCTTTGGCAATAGAATTGATAGTTGCGCGAATTGCCATACTATTCTTCAACAAATATTAAATGTATTTTCTAATAATAAAACTGCTATTAATTTTTTATAATGCTATGGTGTTCTATCTATTGAAGTTTTGTAGTACTTACCAAAGTAATAATTTACTGCGGTAACAATCGTTTCGTTGGTCGTTAAATTATTATCATATTATTTATCTGACGAAAACAGTTTTTGATCGCGGTATGTTCTTTGTAAACGAAAACGAATTCCTTCAAGAATCACGCAAGGATATCAATGCTACAAATGTAACACGTTTAAAAGACACGCGCGGTCGCTTCGGACGTATTTTTCATGCGTGACAATCGTCAAGAATCTCCTTCGCACGTTGCCGATGACTTTTGTGTGCGCAAATAGAGGTTTGTACAGCACATGCGTGCAATTACATTATGAGTATCGGTACACGGTGTTATCCTTCTTAACACGCACGTATATCACGCTGATCCTCAATTATGACGTTTCATCGGGTAGCCGAGTCGGGTAAATAATTCCAAGATAAGATAACTCTTCTACTCCAAGTATAGATAACCTCCTGCCTAGCGCCAACCGGCGACAACGCAAAAAAAAATGTGCACCGTAAGCATTCAAAACGGTGGACATGAATTTATAAATATAGAAAATAACATCGGCAAGAAAAAATAATCTGCGCTTATATACACGGGTCGGCATATGTACACGGAGAAAATATTGATTGAATTAATGTGACAAAGAACGAACAAAATGTTTTACAAAAAAAAAAAGGAAAAAAAAATCTAATTCTTAGAATCGAATTTGTTTCATAAAAACCGAAAATTCTGTTTCTCTTCGATTAAAATGCGTTTGTTTTATTCGTCGTTACTCTAATTTAGTCAATTTTTTTCATTATGTGGAAGAGATTTTATGTTAAAATTGATAAAGACACTATTAAAATGTAAACATTAAAAAGAAAACATCATTAATATAAATCAAATGACTGACGGGATATGATCTCCTTTATGCGATGTTTATACGATACATGTATGTAGACACTTAAAATGTTTAATATGCTGTAAAATATTTTAAATGACAGCGAGTAGACGGAAATGCGACGAGACTATTGTGAGACTTTTTAAGGGAAACCTGAGATTGTGACACATAAATTAATCATCTGATACTATTTCAATTTCTTCAAACGTATTCGCGTATGTTACGAAGATGGTGATATATTTGGTGCGAAACACAGATCGGACAGATTATAGACAAGCAGAATAAGAAGACAATAGATATTTCCGGAACAGAAACGTAGTGACAGCTAATGTTGAATTTGGCAGATATCTTTAAGTTGTGTAAAAAATATCACCTTAACAAACGAAATTCGTTAATTAAAATTGCCGGAGAAACGACACCGTGTACTATGACACGAGGAAGCGTAGGAGAATGACAAGCAACAACACTCGTGTCCAACACACAACAAACAAAATACAACAATCCGCATAATTATGGCGTACAGATAATCGGGATAATTATGAGACGAAGATAAATGCTGGAATATTAATCGAAGATGAAAAACGATACGTTCGATAAATATCAATTGCAGTTGCGGCACACGGTTGTCAAATCACAATTATCAATTACAAAAAGTCGCACACACGTCGCTGTCGTGATTATTCTGAACTGACCTTATCCGTGTATCAAGGAACGCGTGAGTTTCGCGCTTCGATATCGCTCGGAATCAAGGCCGTGCTCCGAAAAGATCCTGCGACCGTAGAATCGATTTGCATTCGCCAGGTGCAAGGAGGAGAGAGAGAGAGAGAGAGAGAGAGAGAGAGAGAGAGAGAGAGAGAGAGAGAGAGAGAGAGAAAAGGGAGGGGGGAGGACACGCGCGCAAGGTGATCACGTGCAGGAACGGAGAAAGAATCCTTTTGCGCGCAGTTAAGAACCTCAACATTACCCACACGCCCACATGCGGCATACCGACGCGCACGTATACGTACACAAACACGCGCGCGCATATCACACAATATGATAAGCACACACGCGTGCACATACCTATGTAGACGACTTCCATCTTGAGATATTCGAACACAGCCACCGGGGATCGTCGATGTAATATCCAAGGGCACGCGTTATGCAGCGGGGAACGAAACGAGATCACACCAATCACCGGAGATGCGCGCTGCGTCGGCTAGCGAGCGAGCACGCGCACACGCGCGCAACACGCGCGAACGCAGCACGAGCGCGTGTACGAATCACCGCCGCGAGGTTAGAATCAGCCGCTCGCTACGACGCTACGACGACCACGACGATGACGACGACGACGCTACACCACTTGTTGATTCCGTACTGACAAGGCAAGAGACACCGCTACGCCGTGACGCACACGCGACACTCGTGCACGTAGCACAGCGGCGCGCCGCTCACTTATTCAACGACTCACTCTCTCTCTCTCTCTCTCTCTCTCTCTCTCTCTCTCTCTCTCTCTCTCTCTCTCTCTCTCTCTCTCTCTCTCCCTCTCTCTCTCTCTCTCACTCGTATACACACGACCGCATCAACGCATTCGTCGCCCGTCGTCACACGACGCACTCGTACGCATCGACTCCGTGACTTTCTCTCTCTCTCTCTCTCTCCCTCCCTCTCTCTCTCCCCCTCTCTCTCCCTCTCTCTCTCTCTCTCTCTCTCTCTCTCTCTCTCTCTCTCTTTGTTTCCCTCTCTCGATCTCACGAACGGACGGCGATCTTCGAGAGCCTTCACGACCGCCGCCGTTGTGGTCGGAAGCGGCGCGACGAGACACTTCGCGACATCCCGAAACGATCGGTCTTTCGATACACTCGTGGTGTGTCGTGAGCGCGTCGACGCGTGAACAGGACCGCACCGGGAAACGAAATCGGGGGTTCGAACGATGCTGACGATGATGCACGCAGGAAGAGAGAAGCGGAATACAAGAGGAGACGCGACACTTCCCTCTTCGGCAAGCTAACGTCAATCGACGACTGCCAAACGCGACGCGCACCGGCCGTGTCACGAGCGAACTGGCAACCTCGGACGACTCGTAAGGCCCAAGTTCCCCTACCATGGAGCATGAGGATGGCGTTGGACTCTGTTCTGGTCTGACCGCGTAGCCTTTTCTATCGCGTATCGCGCTCTTCGTCGCACCCCAATCACGAGAATTTCCCCTTTCTCCAGGCGTGCCGTCAGGCCTACTCGTAGACCATCTCATATGAGAGAATAATGAAAAGTACTTAATCATCCCCGTCTTGATATTATAACGATCAAATGGGATATGGAACTGAAGCGGATGAACGAAATGCAAGGCGTTCAGTATAGTAATATATATAGCGTGCGCTTGCTATTGTATTTGTAGAATAGGACGGAGATTACAAGTCTGTAAGAGAGATAACATAAACACCAATGATTTATTTATACTGTGATAAAGATTACAGAGTACATGTATAATCGGAAGCTATAAAAAGATATTTCATATACCCGTAGACTCGTTTTAGATAATGATATAATCAACGACATGTGATATTATTCATATTGACGGAGTGTGATTTATAATTGGTATCTCCATTTGTTTCTCGGATATATGACCTTATTTTTGTACGTTCACTGTGAAAAGACGTGTACTGTAGAATTTTCTTCCCAGATTAAAAGGTACGAATAGTCTCAAGGAGATCGTGTGTGCGAATTGGGTGTGTGGACCCTACCTCGCTAACCGTAAGGCCCAATGCATCACAGGTAAACAGGGATTCAGAAACCGGCAGAGGTGGTCTACCGGTGAAGCAGGTATAAATGCGCGCTGGTCTCACTTGTGGGGCCCGTCATCCGAAAAAATTAGGCCGATGATAAGTCGCACAAGCCAAATACGACGAATACCACGATTTCTAAGCGTACCGAAAAAGCTTTAGCTCTATTAAAGTTTAAAGCACATTGTGAAATTGTTGCGTAAAAATGTTGCATAAACAATGTAGTCTCAACGAAACAATCCAAACTAACTAAAAAACGAATTATTGAGTACGAGACTCGGTACACTGTACTAAAAGAAGAAATACTTAAAACATAAAACAATATTTATTCGCGATTGGTATTAATAGCATATTTACACTAATATACATATTTTCATTCATTTACACTAATATACATATTTTCATTTTCATATTTTCATATTGAGAAGAAATGTTTTTTAAATGATAATATTACATTTTTCTAAAGTTGTTACTTCTCATGAAAAAGCAATAGTTTATTTAAATAAGAAAAGTTGAATTCAAGTAAATATGTCATTAGTCATCGAATAAATATTTTTTATTCAATATTTTCTCAAATCTAAATTCTCTTCTTTAAATAAATTATTGTTTTCATGAGAGGTGACAATTTTAAGAAAATATATAATTTCTCATTTGACAAAAATGTTTCTTCAATATAAAAATATGTATATTAATATAAGAAAATATGTATTATTAATACGTACTGAATAAATATTTTTTTAGTTTTTCGATATCTTTTTTCTCAATGTACGAATTCTACTTCAATGTAGACACAACTCCGTGGAAATATTGCTGAAAAATTTTATATTTGAACATCGATACCTCTTAGCGACTATTCTACCGCAAGAGAGATAGGAAAGATTCAAAGTAGAAGCGAATCATATAATTCATAACGTTCACCCTACATACTTAAAATAGACGCTTTAATATTCATATTCAAGGTGGACTTCACAGGTCGCGAAGCCGTTTCGATTCCATTCCGAACTCTGCTCGTTCTTTTACTCACATCACTGCGAGGTAGAAAACTTTACGACCGATATCAATTTTCGATTACGAATAATCTCAGCATGAACTTCTCGCGAGGTCGGTCGCGTAGGAGTGCAGAGACCTGAATCTCTGAGTTTCGTATTGCAACCCCATCGTTGATACGACGAAACTGGTACACTTTGTATCAATGCTAATGTATTCTCGATAGAAGTGCACGTGGTTGCAACACGGAAATGCTCGTGTCAATAACCCTGAAGATAACATCTTCATGTCGTTACATATTAGCTTCACTGATAGCGTTATGCATGGTCGCACGCTTGGTTCGCGCGCGCTTTATAGGTACGTATCTAATTAATTTCATGTCTGGAATCTGTTTATAGTATAATGCCAATTAGTATTATTATGGCTTTATAGTATAGTATTATAGTATTATAGTATTATAGTATTATAGTATAGTATAGTATTATTATGGTATATTATGAAAGACGTAGAACGAAACAGCAAAAACTTAAATCATATTTTTTCCTTTTTTCCCCACAATTTGAAATTCACGAGATTCATGAATTATACATGTATAAGAATCCTCTAAAAATAATTCTTTAAGCGCATTTCCATTCAATTCTATGTCGATGAAAATTTAATTTTGATTTCAATCAAAAGGTAATTCAATGTCTATAATTAACCAATTTCAGCGAACTAAAGTGAAATATTTAAGACTATATCATTCAGTTTATCCTTAAGTTCCTTCAGTTTATCTTTAATTAAATTTTAGTTAACAGATATAATTATTAACTGAATATAGTATAAGCTGTATTTTTTTAATTTTTATGGTCGACATATATTACTTATTGTAAGTTACAATCTTGCGAGAGAAATGACTTTCAATTAAATACTGATTGAGAAAACTAGTGAAAAATACAAATGTTACATAGCGTGTAAACAATAAAATATAGTAATAAAACATATAGAACCGCATCTTTTTACGATTTATCGTGCTTCTTCAAAATATATAATCTATTCTATTTCAAGAAAATGTCAGCTGGAGAAGAACAGCTGGATTACTGACTGAATTCGATATCAACAAAGTTACAGTGATAACGGGTAACTGCCTTGACCGCCATTCACGCCTCACCGAATATATCTGATCATGAGATCTGTTCGTCCACTCGTACAATTTCAGGAAATAGCTTCCTGCTATTTCCGAACTTATGGAACTTACGTGAGATCTCAGAGCAGAAGATTACTACAGTTTCTGGAGTACGTGTCTCCTTTTTCGTCCGCAAAATAACTCCTACGATGTGACTCGTTGCTCTTGTTCATTTCACGGTTATGATTTCACGGTTAACTATTGTCTTAACTATATAGCTCAATAACGTGAGTCATTCGAGTGACTCAATATGGTAAGAGTTTTTTTCTCAATTATCTCCCGTAAAATAAAAGTTATAATGTACATTACAAAAGAAAAAATCTTAAATTTTGAAATTTATATAATCTTTCAGGTGTGATAGTTTCATTTTAAATTTGAATGTTAATAAATATTTAGAAATACTACTGCACTAAAAGAATTATAATATTTTTTGTAGTAATAAAAAAATCAAACTATATCCAAACTTAATGAAACTAACCTTAAGTTAAAAAATGTATATTTTAATTTCGTAAAATAACTTTTTTAAAATTTTTCCTACTAAAACCTTAAATTCCTTCTTAAAAGAATCTTGTATGTGTGTGTGTGTGTGTGTGTATATGTATGTCTCCTTATAGCTTATTTTATTTATTACTACAAAAAACTGCGATGCAATAGAATAGAATAGAAGTCTAAACATTTACCCGAATCTTTTAGCTATATTTTAGCTACATTTTTATTTCATTTATTTTATTTATTTATATGAACTTTTAGCTACATTTGTATTTCAATTATCTACAAAAGATTCAAAAGATGTACATAAATAAATGTAAAGATACTCTGAAATAATTTTGGGTGAAAGCAGAGTTTTATTTTCTTGGTATTTAAAAAATTAGCACAATTGTATTTCCTAAGGAACTTATCACTTTCAACAGGAGAAAGTAAACACACAAATATATATAGAAATAGTTAGGCCACTTAGAACAATGGTTTGCTAACTCGAAAACAATGCCTTCGTTATGTTTTCAAAATATTTTTTTTTATCGACGGTCATTATTCGGGACAGCTCAAATAAATGGAAACAAAGAAAGTTTCAAACGAATTTCGCCGTACAGTTTTTCAATAAGACATCTTTGTTTCCCTTTGTTTTAATACTTGTCTAAAACTGAATATGAAGTTTCATATTTCAGCGAGTATATCTTTTTATTGTACCGATTTTAATCTCTAATTGGCTTTAAGCCAAAAGACGCGAATAATGTTATTATACTGCACGAGTTAAGAGTTAAATCAGATTTATTAACCCTTTGTGGTACTACACTGAGCAGCACTGAGCATAATAATTCATGATAATACTGTATATATCCTTTCAAGTGCACGAGACAGTCGACGAAAAAAATTTGCGAGCAGTATTTCTCGAGTCTTCACGATATTCCACTAACAAGGTAATTTACACACACACACACATACATACGCATGTATAAAACGTGAAATTTTTCCAAAGTGGTTATAGGATTAACTAAAAAGAGAAGGGAGAATAAACAGATAGATTAAAATGTTATATATAAAACCGACAAAACAATCAAAAATCACG